TGTGTGAACTGGTAACTTGAGGCTGTTACAGTCAGGGAGGAAAAGAAGGTAATTTCCAGTATGATTCACCCAACCCATGAGTTGTTTGCTTTAGGAGGAGACAAAGGAGACAAACTGTGACATGCAAGTATCGATTTCTCTCTATTGACTGTAGAGGGATGCAAGATGGTCGCCTCAAAATGAGGAGATGTGTCCTTATTGCGGATGTCTTTATTAAGTCGGATGAATCCCACCCTGGGTGTTTAAACTTAGCTAATGTGATCTGCTACATTTGCAATCAGCAGTGGAAGGAAACGGAGCAATAAGGCGCTGGCGAGGCACAATTATGCATAATGTTGCCATTCTGCTCAGCTCTTCTTCATGGCCCAGCAGCTTGTACCTCCCAGAGGATCAGTTTTAATACAATGCCTCTGTGCAGAAACTAATGAAGATACATAAGCAACCGCCCTCTCTGAAGAGGCAAATATTTGAAGAGACTAAAACAACATATCAGATCTGGCAGCTGTGAATTCGAGAGTAGTATTAAAGGGATGGGATTTGCACTGCTATTCTTTTACCAGCACTGCATAGATTTGCAGCTAGTACAAAATCTGTATCAGAATATGAAGGTAGCTATAGAAATATAAATAATTCCTATACAAATTTAAAAATGTTAATAGCTAAACAGGTTTGGATTTCTCTTCTCACCACTGTGCTGCTAAGTTGAAATGAGGAGAATTAATTTATTGAAAATATCTCAAAGCACTGTTTTCTAAGTGACTGAAAAATGCTCTTTCCACCTTAATTTTTCCAATTTGGTCAACAAACAACACAAAGCAAAGCAATAAGATTGCTCAAAGTCTTCACAAGGATCAGTTCATGCTAGAAATGTATGCATGTATAAACATAAATAATCAAAATTCTTATACCACAGAGAGTTTACTGTTTAGCATACACATTGAGAGTAGGTAGATTCAGATATGAGGACGGAAAGAAAGAAAAAAAGTGAAATTAATGAAAAAAGTGAAATTAATGACAGGGCAAGCCTTATACTACAATGCTGTAGTAGTGGCCATAACACTTAAGATGTTAAAAGCTTTTTTTTTTTTTTTTTTTTTTTTTTCACTTAATACATCTGTTTTTTTTTTTTCAATTTAAAGACAAAATTAGTTTAGGCTGGTTTTACACGTATGCTCATGCTCGTATGTCTTACCGTCTTTTGGAAAATAAACCGAAACCTTTTTCTTCCCTTAGGCAAAACAAAGGAAGTTCAGCGGGAAAACAAAATCTCGGAAGCAAATACACAGCTGCTGGCTTTGGCTCACTGCTATGTCACAGGCATAATAGATTATTTTATTAGCACTGTGCTCCAGAAGCACCTCTTTTCTCTTTCAGGACTTATATACGCAAATGGATGGAAGGAGAAACGATTTTGACTACCAGTGTCTTGTGAGGTAAGACTCAAAGGTAAAAGCAATGCTGCTGACACGGGACACCGCTGCCCTCTGGTGGGTTAAAGTACATATGTATAACAACATGAGATGGTCTCATCACCATCTCCCTGCATTTTTGGCACATTTCTAAAAAGATTATGGCTGTGTGAGGTTAACTACCAAAAATTAACAGAGCAGGAAAGCTAAGGTAGCTATTTTTCTGTTTCAAAAGCCCTTATTCTAGTCCTTTTTTTTTCCCCCCTCATGTTCTGTGATCAGTGATGATGAATATGAGTCAGCCTACAGCCAGAAAATGCTGGAAAAAGAAGGCAAAGAATGAAAAAAGAGTTTAAAAAAAAGTGTAGGAAAAGGTGTCATTTGCTTCTCCTCTTTCTACTACTCACTGTTTCTGCTGATGGTAGAGCAGATATTTTTCCAGCAGGTAAGTGTAGTATCACGATTTTACAGATCGAGAATGTCAACCTGATTTATTTATTTCTTTTATTAATCCTGCTTTAAAACTGCTAGGGTTGCTCTGTGGTTATGTTAGGAACTTAGTAGTTCCCCTAGAGGAAAGACAAACACAGGCCAAGGACTGTCACCACCTATTCAATAGCTACATACAACTCATCTTTCATGGTTTATTGCAACTCAAACTTCTCTTTCAGTATGGGAAATAGAAAGAAGTGTCTGGAGGTCCTTTGCCTCCAACCCCCACCACATGCCAAACTTAAGGCATCAATGCAAAGTTAATGAATCTATACAATGAGGATGGGGCAAAATTGTCTCAATAATCTCTTCTTGCACTTATATTAGAAATTACTTCATATCATTTCATATTATCTTTCCTATTAAGAGCCACAATGCAGGAAGTAGATGATGTTCACAGTCCAAGGATGGATTTAACAATTTTTCCTTCTGCTTTTTTTTCCAAAGCATAGCTCTTGGCTTACTGCACACTATTAATTATTTCTGCCTCCAGATCAGGATTTATTTTCCCCTGGGCTTTTCCAGAAATTTGTTGTGGTAGTATCTCTAAGTAGAATTATACAGCCTTCTATATACTCAAAGCACAGCTCCTGCTACAGTCAGTTGCAGCTCTGAGTTTCAACACTTCTGCAAACCAGATCACATCATTCAGCCAGCTGGAGAATGAGGAACATTGAATCAGTGACCACCTGTGAAAAATCTGGTTTAAGGAACCTCTGAGGTAAAAATAAGAGTAGCTTGGAAATTTTCTGACAAAACAGCACTTCATGAAAAATATGGGTTTATCAAGCCCAAAGTGTTCTGTTTAAAACATTTCATGCTGAAGGAACTCTTACCAAAATCAAAGCGAGATCTGGAGGAAACTCAGCTTGGATTCCTGAAGGGTTATTACTAGGTTTTCCAAGAATCTGGAAGTAGCCATCCCTAGTCCCAAAGAAGCTCATCTAAAGACAGCCCCACATCCCAGGACAAAAAAATCTCTAAGTTGCACACTATACCTGCATGTCTGGGGAGAAATGGTTTTAAGTCAGGCTTGGAACAACTCCAGAAAACAAACAATTCAACAAAAACCACGTGAAAAATAAGGCTGGTTTTTCAGGTAGCTATCAGGGACAATTTTAACTGTTTGACCAGGAGACTATAACCTCTTTTCCTTCAAGTAGTGCCTCATTTTTTATCTCCTAACAATATTTTTGGAAAAAAAAAATAGCCAGTGGCCCAGCTTAACACAGTTCCCATCAATATCCCAGCTTTGACAGGACGAAGCAAATGTCTTTTATCCATTGAGTGAAGTAAGGGGGCCAGAAAAAAGAAGTCAGATGAAACCTGCAAGTGAGCGAATGAAGATTATTACAGTTGGCCATGTGCTCTGATTCAATTTACACTCTTGAGTTTCAGATTATGCACTACCTGATGACTGCTAGCAGCTTGCTGTGCCTAACTGGAACCAGCAGCAGGCATTTCATAAATATCTGATGACACTGTTGGAGCACACACTGAGAAATCTGAATTTCATTTACACTCAGGAAATGAATATCTTTCTGTCACCAGCAGGACCCTTTCTGACCTGTTCTCTCCAGCCTTAGTCTTCTCCCTGTCTCCTGCATCCCTCTGGTTCTTACCATAGAGTCATTCAGATGGGAAGGGACTTGGGGAAGTTTGTATTCCAGACTGCCCAAATCAAGATCAAAACTGAATTCAGACCACGTTGTTCAGAGCTTTACCCAGTTAAGTCCTGAAAACCCTCAGAAATGGGAATTGTCTCTCTGGGCAACCCGCTTCAGCACTTTACTGTCCCCTTGGCAAACACTTTTTTCCTTATATCACCTTGGAACTTCACATTTTGAATTCTGAACATTGTCTCTTCTCACACCACCATCTACCTCTTCTTAATCTACTACTAGGTAGGAAAGTTGCCATTAAGTTTCCTCTTCTTCAGGTGGCATAAACACGGTTCCTCCAGCTGCTCCACATCAGATGCATGTGCTCCACTCCGACCACCTCCTTGCATTCCAGCTGCCTCCCTCAAGTTTCTCACCATCTTTCCTGTATTTGAGTGCCACGTGGAGGTGGTCCAAACAAGATCCAGTATTCTAGATGTGCTCTAACAGATGTACTGAGAAAAAGGCAATAACTGTTCCCCTTTTTCTACTGGTGATGCTCCTGACAGTCTGCGGTTAGCCTTCAATCTGACAGAGCTCGCTGAGGACTTACCAGTGTGGTAATCCAATACACACGCTCACTGATGAAATGACTCAAAAAGCACAGGAGAGCTGAAGGTTGCTTCATCAGTTTCCCCTATCTGAAATTCCAGGCTCCCAATACTTTTCATTTATTGTCAGTCACCACAATTCAATCAAGTCAGTACTATTTATAAAAATGGATAAGGAGACTGCAATACACAAAGAACCTTTTCTTTACTAATGACAGAACAGTCAGCTCCTAGAACATTTTTTTTCAAATGAAGCAGAGTTCATTACTGTGTTTTTTTTATTTTTTTCTATCTCAGTAGCACTTCAATACTTCTGTGAAGTTCAGTGAAATAAGTATTTAATGTTTGTATTACAATAACTCCTAGAAGCCTTGACCTGTATACAGGCATTCATGGGGAAAAAAAAAAAAAAAAAACACAGAAAAAAAAATCTTGTCTAGTGAACAAAGCAGACAGACAAAAGAAGAAATCTGCTTAGAACGGCTTACACCTTTGATTTTTGTGTACAGGCAGATTTGAGCAACATTCTCGAAAGTACACAGTAAGTCTATAATTAGCCTAGGAACTGAACTGAAACTTATGGGATACAAATCTAATTTCTTAACTGTATGCTGGCTTCTTTTTTTTTTTACTGTATTCCTTAGAAAATCAAAACACATATATTTACAGATGTTACTTAGAGTCTTCCATTGTCTAAAACAAATTTGGTTTTGGGTGATTGCATGATGGTTATATCTCACAAGTATGTCTGGTGGGTTTCATTTTTGGATTTGTTTCTTAAAATGAAGAAAAGGTCTAGGAAGGCGTGTGCATATGGAGGAAAGTGAGAGACTGAATTAGCAGCCTTATTGAAATCCAATATTTTTTTTCTCAGAAGCATAGGAAGAGAAGAAGATTGCACTAAGTATAATAAGAAAAAAAAGGGGCTTCACAGGAGTCTAACTGCACCAAAAAAGGTACCATCTCCATCCAAGGATATTTTGGCCCTTCTTCGTGGTATTGTAAGCTGAAGCTCATCACCTTCTTCTAATTTTGCAATGCCTGGCAAGAGATTTGGAATATTTTAAAGTCAATATTTCATATACAGTATTTTCATAAATGGTATTTAATACACTATTATACACTGTTTCACAAATGTAAGCATTTCTTGCTTTTTTATCATTAGACAAAATCCTACACATTTAAGCCCACCCAAAGTTGATATTTAACAACATCTGTGGAGAATCCCTAGCAATTCTGTCCTCCTTTGCTTAAGCAAATGTTCTTATGTTACAGTGACTCAACAGCCAAGGACAGCACTGGGTGCTGTTGGTCCTAAACCACCGCAGCCTCACACTTCTAGAGGAAGTTTCATCAGCTTTGCCATCATTTGAAGTTACCAAACATCAGCTGATTCACTGCAACTGCAGCGCACAACAGGCTGCTTCCTGCAAACCACACGTCAGTTGACATGGCAGCTGAGCGGCCCGCCTCCAAAATCAGAGCCATGGAGCTGAACCCATAACTGCCCACGCATGGGCAGCAGTGTGAAGTGCTACACCAAGGTGCGCTTCTCCAGAGGAAAGTGGGGAGCGGGGATTTGGGAAGCGGGAACCATGAAGTGGCAGAGTTGAGCAGAGATGCTAGTTAGGAAGGAAGGTGTAAAACAAGGGTGAGAAAGAAGGCTACATGCAATTGAGGCTGGTTATGATGCAAGAATGAGTGAGAGGAGGGGCAGAAAGTTAAAGAAAAAGTTTGGATTGTCTTATTTGACAGGAGGAAATAGCTAATTTATTTTTATGTGGAAAAAAAATGAGCTTCCTTTCCTGTCACTTTTGCATAAAGTCGACGTGTCAATGTGTATATGTGCCAAAACTGAACTCCTGACACTGAATGTCACCCACTTTAAATACAAGGTGTTAGAAAAGACAACTTTCTATTCATAGAGCCCTTGTTAGAAAATAAAAATACAAAAAAAAGCCCTCCATATCTACCAACTGGGAAGAAAGAAAGATGAGTAAAAGGGATGCTGAATGAGGTTAAAAAGGCCTTGACAATAACCCTTTAAATACTGGTATGGGAATATACATTTATGTTGAGCACTTGGCCTGATAGACTTGCACAAAATGTCTTTTTTTGTTATTATTTTGGTGTGTCTGGTTTGTGCAAGTCACTGAAAATAAGATTTGTATAGAAACTAATTACTTTCCCATCTATTCGAACAGTAAAACTGCAATGGTCATTACTAGGTGCAAAGAATTAACCTGAAAGGAAGATCTTTGAAAATTCCATGAGAAAGTACAAAAAATTGGATGTCTGAAATTCATGTTTTATGTATTAAAGCAGAACTCCTAAATGTTTTACTGGCATATCTAAATCTTCTATTCAACCCCTAGGTTAAAATGAGTTCTTCCTTAAGGACAGTGTGTACTCCTCTTTGGCCGAGTGCCTTTGGCAGGCACCTAACTGTGGAAACACCGAAGTATCTAAGCCTCTTACAGAGTGGATGGAGAGTGAGATAAGTTACTCAGATCACATAAATTAGATGCTTATAGTCAGACTATAAATACCATATATGAAACTATACTTTTTTTGAAGGTATTCTGTAATTTTACAATTAAGTTCATCCATGAATGTAGCCCATACAACTGCTACAATACTTAATCACCCATTACTACAGATTCTACTTGATACAGTTTATTTGTAAACAAAGAAGAGGAAAATTTAGATGATTACCAGCAGTATAGCAAGAATTATTCGGATAAGACTGTGGCATATTTTGGATGCAACGAAATAATGTCACCAAACTGAGATCATCACCAAACACATGGGCCTTCTTCCTCTGTATTAGATGTCCCATAGCAAATGTTGTATCCGTATATAAAACCTGGAGAAGGAAGAAGAAAAGACTTCAAACACATTTTATGAAGACATTACAAATCCTTAAAAACTTGAAGTGATCTGAATCTGGTACTGAAATGAATCGAGCATTTCTACCTGTCCATATATGAAAAAGTATCCTGTTTCTTTGATCACTATTTTATTTCCTTGTTCTTCCAGAGCTGTTCCACGTTTAAAGCTAAGGAGCCATGGGACAATGCTTGAGTCATCTAGAAGAAACAAGAATTTGGGGTTAATGAGAAAAACAAATTTACTTCTTTAATTTTCATCTACTTAAATTTAACAATGCTGACTTCCACTATTAACAGTGGGATTTCCCCACTGAAAAGAGAATATTTGCATGTATGTCCAGCTGCATAGAGCTTTCTGGAGTTTCTTGTTTTTTTTTTTTTTTTTTTTTTTTTTTTTTTTTTTACAAAAAATATCATGCCACACAACTCAGTTACTACTTTGAAGTTTTCTAAAATTGGATGGACAGGCTAATACATCAAGTAACTAAAAATCGTTGCATATTCTTACCTTTCTGTTGGACATCACTTTTGCTGTCAGCAATCAGTTGTAAGCAGGCCTGCAACACTGCAAAGTGAAATCAGTTAAAAATCAAAAGAATATAAATCATTAATAGAATGGAGTATGTTTTTGGAAATGCTTTTAAAGAAATGGAAAATGGAAATGACAAAAAAAAACAGTCTCACTGTGTATTTGCAAATAGAGTCCATCTATTCATTTTAAGACAGACACACACCATAACCAAATTCATACCTCAACATACTAGATAACTTTCAGAGATCATGCGTCTAAGCAGTAGGCCTCAAACAGTAGCACAAATTATATTTGTTTGTTCTAATCCTTGGTTCTAATGCAATAGAATAATGTAGCAGTAAGTCAAACGAGCTAGGAATCATTACAATAAAGCTTTATTAAATTCCTAAACAAAAGCTAAAAAAAAAGGTCAGCCATGACAGATATCAGATTTTCTAATGAAATTCATTGTACTGTTTAAAGAAATTAGTTTGCAATTCACAGTTTCTGTAGGATGTTAATCATACATATGATAGTTACATGACATTTGTAAAAGTAATAAATCCAAATTCTCATAATAAGTATGTATGTACTCTCAATATATTTTCAGGTACACAGAATCAATAGACCTCTACTGAGAACAAGAAGAAAGATACAGAGAGGCTGTTTGGCAAATACATACATAACAAGTTCCCTAGTACTGGTCAAACATGATGGATTCATGTCAAATGTTGACACTGAAGAGAAACTAAACTAGAAGTTTGATCACAGAAAAATACATTTATATGTTAAGATAATGGCTCATGAAACAAAAGATCTTTAAAATCTACTGCAATCTGAAAAACTGAGAGTTAAATTTGCTTACAGCCTTTGGCTGTAGTAGTACTTTGAAATCTGACAAGCCTCGGAATCTGCTAAACTAGTAATTTACTAGGAATCAAGAAAAAAAAAGAAAAGAAAAGGAAACCAGCTTTGGATTGCTAAATCTTCATCTCTGCTTACCTTTTTTTCAGGTAAAAATCCCTGCCTCAACCAGATTTGGCCACTCTTGCTACAATGGGAAGAGCTTTACTCTCTGAGATCCGGTCACTACATCTGTCAGAGGTATCCAAGGGTACCATCAAGTTGCAAGCAGTACACACTTCTAGCCACACTGCATGTAGCAATAGGGTCAAAAATTCTACTTGAATGCCTCTCAGCTTAGAGTAAATCAAATCTGAGCTTCAGCCAAGGGGTTTTTGAATAATTAATAATGGACTCAGAATACAAGATGACTGAAATACTTCTTTAAAATATGTAATAATATTTAAACTGAATACCACCATGATGTCTAGCTGGATGGAACAGGCTGGATCGAGAACAACAACATATGCCTGACGGCTTGTGATTTCAGACAACAGCTTTGCTTTCATGACATTTTTCTTTTCTCATTTATACTGCTCTGTGAAGTATGGGCGGGGAGAAAACATTTCAAAATCTATCTTCTTCCATGTAGTGGAGAGCCAGTTCTGAAGAAATTAGTGACTCCATATGCCTTCATAAACCATAGGCAGTGCATGAAGGGATGCAATCTGTATTAGTTGAGCAATGTGACCACAAGTTCAAAAAAGCTAGCAAAGTCTTACTTTTGACGCAGGATAGGAACTCAGCCTTCTGCACATCAGCATGATTTAAGGTCTGATACCAGCATGGCCAAATTCACCGCCCATGCAAGTTTTTGTATCATTTAACTTGCCTAATCATTTTAGTATCATGTGATCTAACTTCATAATCCATCCAAAGAAAATTGCTGGTTTGTCAAATAACTATGCATGGGTTGAAAATCATGTTTAGATATCTGAGATCTGAGACATCTATCTCAATTTCTGCTGAATCCAAAAAAAACAACCACCCTGAACTTTAAAAACCAGACATGCCTATTTAGGTTCCTTCTTTGGTTTTGATCTGTTCTCTATAGACTTCCTGAAACAAGCTTAAACAGTGGATAATTCTGTTTATAGATTATGTGTATGTTCTTGAATGATTTTTATTCCCATAACTTCTTTAATTATTTTCGCAAGAAATATTCCTTTAATTTTTGCTGGTGTATTTTATGTAGACTAGCTAATTTGGTGCTTTTTAACAGAAGAGGATTTTTGAGACATAAGTTAGATTAGGTCCATCTCTTCATTAAAATGGTTTGGCAATAGTTACAGATGCAACTCAGATGTAATAAATATCCTCAAGTATTTGTAGCTTTACATTTATCTTAATAGATTTAGAAGACTCTTACAATAGATATAACTAGTTATTTACTAAGTATGGCTTATGCGGACCTCTATTATGCAAAACAAAGTACATTTTTTTAGCCCAAAATGAGAACCTATTTTGCATATTTTTCATTGCAGTGTTCCTCATAAAATGCAACACTCATTCATTCATTCATTCATTCAGTAAGTGCAATTCTTCATGTAAAACTGAACGTATTGGATGAAGTCCTTGTCTTTCCACGCAGGAGTGGTTACTTCCTTTTGAATTAGTTGGTTGTCAGCAGAAACAAAAGAATAACATCTCTTTTCAAGAAGTAGGCCTTTATTTTTAAGTTTAGAGAACTCTCACATTTCCTCTCTTCATACAATTTATATAAGAAGTATTTTGAATAACTGGGGAGGGAATTTCACATTTGGTATTTGTTTAGTCTAGTGGCAAAGGTTACATTTCTTGATTCAAACATCGTCCAAGTCAGACTCTAATTTTAAAAGTTTGCTTCATTCCTTTCTCACAGAGGCCTAAACTAACAACATACAAGATCAAAACACTTCTACCCAGCAAATAGGTGAATTTCCAAAAAGCTGGTTGTATCTAGAACAATGGCAAAGGTGATATATTGTTATAACTTATACTCAGGTTCGCAGGACACTATGTTCTCTGTGGTCATAGCTGACATCAGAGGACAAACTTGAGAACTGCTAGCTGAAAAAATATCTGAGTCTCATGTCTTGTTTGCCTGTTTCATTGCTTTAAAAGCTTAGTTAGAATTTCTCTTCAATTTTTTTCAATCAAGTCAATTAAACTGAGTGGTATGGATAATCTCAATACACTAAATTAATATATTCTCCTAACCTGATCAACACCAAAACCTTGCTAGAATTTGGGATTACAGAGGACTTGATGTTTATCTCTCTAGCTCAGGACTGGAATTGGATTCACACAATAGAAATCAGAACTAGGCCCATGCTAAGGAAACATGGCATTCATGTACTGAATTGGCTTGCGTAGCAAAACCTGTATCTTTTTCCTGGACATGTGGACATATATCTTAGCAAGAAACATACGGGCAATGCAATGAATAATTGTGGCTCAGGCATTTGGTTTAGAAATGGTTTCTGTCATGTAGCAGTTTTCCTGCACTGATGAAATTTGTTAAAAAAAAAAAAAAGACACACAAAAATTATCTATGTTCTTAAGTATCTTGAAATTACGTGTACCAGAAGCGGTTAGATGACTTATCTGTCTGCATATTAATAATATGTGACTTTTGAAATCACCCACTAACACCTACTCATTGCATTGAGACCTCTGGTTTTGATTGCTAACTATATAGCTTTACTTGGAACTGATGTTCAAAATGCCGTTCTTCAAGTTACTTGAGCTGGAAACTTTTTCAAGACACACAATGTACAGTACAGATGTCTCTTGTATTCATGCATAAGCATGTACAAATGCATGCCCGAACAAAAATATTAAAATAAGATGTCAGTTCTCATTCAGTTGCCATTTTAATTTAAGTCCTATTTTTGGCCACTTTTACAGACATTTTTAAGCAAAAACAAACAAACAAACAAACAAAAATAACAACAAAAACTTTTAAAATGGAAATTCTCTATGGTTAAGAAAGGCTTTCCTAAAAATATTCATAATATTCATAATATTCATGTTCATTTCTGAAGTTTAATAATTAAAGTTTAAAAACAATAACAGAATCAAACCATGGCTTTTTATTTATTAACAAAAACCGTTCTATCTTTTACCACTGCTCTCTGATTTAAGAAATCAGTACACATTGAAGTGCAAAAATGATTTGACAACGAATTATCCAACCAGACTCCAGACTCTATTAGGAGCCCTTATTCTAGCAGAAATAGAATGAAATAGAATGAAAAAAAAAAAGTCAATTTATCAGTCATAGCACTGAGGCTGCAGGACAATTTGGAGGCTGCCAGGATTCTGACACTGAGCAACAAATGCAGGAGAATAAAACTGAGGGATAACAGTTCCGTGTGTCTGACCAAGTAACGGACAGGATTCAGCACCACGAACAACACCATATGCCCCTCTTTTTCCCATCTCTCGCTTAAAAAAAATAATTTGACAAATTGACTGGGAAGGCAATAGTCACCAGTGAAGAAAAGTCTGATTTGAGAAAATGTAACATCTTACTGACAAGTTTATTTTGTTTTAGTTTAAACATGCAGAAAAGTAATGATGCATAAGAGATGGTCTTCCATATTAAGTCCAAGATCTGTAATTTATTCTCACACAAAATAGCATGGTCTTCTTAGGAAATAGTTTGTAGTAGATAAGTCAATGTAATTGACTATTAAGTTGACTATACTTAGTCATTTTAATCAATGTTTATGTTCTGTGTTTTCTGTTATCTATCTAGACAATTTAAAAGCTCTTTATAGAGCTTTTATTTTTAAATATACATTGCATATATATGTATAGTCAAAATACATGTTGTAGAAAAAGAATTGTATAAATATTGTGGAAATAAAATTCTAAATAAGCTGGTTCTTATGTGAGGTAAGTAGGGATACCTAATGAAAAAAAAATTATCTCTGTCAGAAGCACAGCTGAGAATCCACAAACCTCCCATCCATCATACAACATAAACAGCATTAAGAATAAAGATAAAAGCTACTGTGAAGGGTACTGAGTAACTTGCAGAACACCGGTGCAAGTAACTCGAATGTTAACTCGATTAAAGAAGAAATGTCTCCTTATTTTGATGGTGCTTGGGCTTTAGGTACAAAAGATCTCAAAAATTTATTTAGAAGGTGTTGGGGAATGGAAAAAAAGAGAAACTCCGTGACTCCTGTGATATTCCACGGGAAGCAGGCTACAAAAAATGACAAATAAGCAATCTTGTCTTTAATTCTGTGTGTGAAATCACTTTTAATAAAGACCCTGAACTAAATATTATCAATAAGTGAGGAAAAAAACCACCACCACCACCAACAAAAAAGACAGCTCTTGGATCCTTATGTGAATATTGTCTTTTGAGAGACGTGGAAGTAAGTAGAATACTTCTGCTTAAATTTAAATTTTTAATTTAGCAAGCTGAATCTTAAGTGAAATACTGTTTAGGTTAACTGATCAATGAAAAACATGCTTTACATGAAGTCTAATCTAGGCTTTTCCTACAGAGTTACTCCATTTTATCATAGTCAAATAGTGATTCAAAATGTCAGCATTCATCAATCAAAACAATCTGAAAGTATCCATAGGAGGACTGAACTAATTTAGCAATTCAGGAATGTTTTTAGTAATACACTGTAATTAGAGTAGGTACTGTTGTATTAAAACTCTGCATTTTATACTACCACAAGTCAGGATCAAACAAGCAAACAAAAAGTTTAGGGACTTTTCCTTAAAGGAAACAGATTTCTTCCATGAATATTCCAGCATTATAATACATTCAAAAGGTGTTTAACAGAGCACACTCCTCAGTGCTCTCTAGTACCTTTAGAAAGCCATAAGAAAAAAATAACCCGAATTCCTCACAGTCTGCCTCCTTTGACAGGTACAAACAAGACTTTCTCTTTGAATGCTCCTACTTCCCTAAACATAAGGAGCTTTTTGTCACTTCTCTCTTTCAGGATAAGCACATTTTCCCAGAAAAATGACTTGCATTTTTATGTTTTTAGTCACAGTTTTTCCTTCCTAATGTTGACTACAGAAAACGAAACTGGACATTAGCCTGAGAGTAATGGAATTAAAACCAAACAATTTAAATTTTTTGCAAATCAAAGCTGTCTTTACTCATATTTGAGAAATTGTGGGGCTGTGAGAAGTAGATTTGGGACCTAATTTTTAAAGTTTAACATGGAGATAGCATGAGTATCTCCAATAGTTATGAAGGGAACTATTAAGGAATACACTTTCGGTTATTACCATGCATTCTGGTGTGTGTATATACATATACAAATATATACATATAGAAATATGTATATACAAAGACAGGTTATTGGAGCATTAATTAGCTTACAGCAGAAGATTCCATTCAAGTATTGCCACCCATCTCAGAAAAGCATCCGACCACAGTGACCCCAGCTACTCCACTGGGTGCTACTTACCCGTTTCTTCAGTGTGGATTATGGACCTCCTCCTCCTGTTACTGCTCCCATTCCAGATTCCCCACTGGAAGTGCTCGGCTGTGGCAGGACCGGGGACCTTGCTTCCCTAGTGGAGATGAGTAGCAGTGAGCAAAAGCAGCCCCGGGTCTGCTGCTCAGCTCCCTCGCCCCTGCCACCAGAATCCACCTTGCCAGCTTACCTGCCTGGCAGCAGCTGCCGAGCCTTCCGGGAAGGAAGGAGCGGGGGCACCCGCTCCGTTGTCTTTAGGGGACACCAGCGGCTGGTCTAGGCGGGAGCTTGCCTGGACCCTGTAGATCAGCTTGCTACGGAGAGCTTCTACTTCTGTTTTCAGGGTGATAACATGGTAAAGAGACACTGCTGCAAGACAAGAGGACAGGAGCATTGCAAGCCACAGGAATGTGACAGAAAAAAGTCCCCTGGTGCCCCAAGCAGCACCAGGGGGGGCAGAGGGAGAGGAGGCGGTATCCTTCTGCGGGATGACGTGCACACAGTCCACGGATTTCATCGCTGCTCTTTCCACACTAAAGCCAGAGGGATAGTTCAGCTGCCTCCTTCTGAGGTGCAATCCATGTTACCCGTTGCTCTCTGAAACTAAGAGCATCCAGAATAAGTGAACAAAACGCCCAGATCATTTCCTGTCATATGAAGCAGTTGATATAACCATTAAACTTAATGTACAGTGAGTGTCTAAGATTAGGTCTCCCTTTAGTTTTCTTCTCTCTGTGCTGCATTTTGGCAACAAATACTTTCTCATGAGCTTCTTGCTCAATCTGCCTTCCTCCTTTCACTTTCAACTATTTATTTGTGTGCCAACTTGCTACTACCATTTCCCACTATCTTTAAATTTAGGCATAACTGGTACCACTTGTAATTACAGCCTTATCTAAGAATGCAGAAGAAATACGTTTCCTGGCAGTGTTATCCAACAGACATAAGCCTGTGGTGTTGTGTGTCTATAAATATATACATATATATGCATTTATATTTTCATACCTAAAGTGCATATATGCCTGCAATGGCTCATATAATAATTTTTGTGGTGTCCTTAAACAGTGACAAATATTCCCAGGCATGAGTAACAAACCACTGCTCTCTCAGGTGTATGAAGTGGCAGGCTCTGTGAGTCAAATTTATCATACTAATTTGAAAAGGGATGACTTCTTATTAAACCGACCTAATAAATGCACTGACTTTGCTATAGAGTTCAAGGATCTGGATTGGTGCAAGGGGAGGAGAATAACAGAAGAGGGAATAAATAAGAGAAAGCGAGTGAAAAAAGCTTTACATATGAAAATACATGCTTAATTTTTCAGGTGAATTTTACAGGATTGGCACTAAATTCAACTATTCTTAAGATCCTACTATTTCTTTCATACTAAAACCCTCCATTAATAATTCCTTCCTTAACATACTTGCCCTCTTCAGCAGCAAGGGTACCTGAAACACCCAAAACATGTTTACAATGTCTTCTCATATATACACAAAACTAAAGTTTTATTCTTTTGTTAAGGTTTTCAGTGATTTGGGCCAGAAAATCAAAAGTATCATGCTAAGACTAAAATCAACGACTTAACTCCTGCTAAACACTGACACCTTCTTTTACCACAAAAGCAAACTTCATCTTGCAGGAGATAAAGCTTTCACAGGTCTGAAAAGTGTGCAATGAATCTTCCCAGTAACACCTGCCAGAAGAACTTCAGATGAAACCGATCTAAAATGAAGGAAAGGGGGAAGAAGAAGAAACAGAGGAAAAACAAATATTTTTTTTTCTCTCTTTTTAAGAAAAAGCAGAGAAAAAAATTATCGTCTGTCTTAACATGCTCCTAGAAGATATATACTGTGGAAAAAGATAGTGAAACTAACAGTGGAATAGTAAGAACAGAATACCACGAGATCTATTTTCAAGAATATGCTAGGTGTAGCTGTTGATGAGGCTGCATTTTAAAGCAAATTTAAGAGGTAGATTTTGTGGAACATACTCAGCTATTATTTGAAACAAAAAGATGTGCCTAGAGGTACCGTTTCACATTAGAACATTGTTATTGTGGGACAAAGAATGACTGTTTCAAAAATAAAGCAATATACCTGCTAGAAAAGAAGTGCTATTTAAGCAAATGAAACCAAGGGAGAGAATGCAAATTATGACCAGTGATTCATGAAGATATAATTGGCCAGAGAGGTCTCTGTGGTCATTAGTGTATAAGAAAATATCTGACATTTAGTAATTAACATCACACAAGTTACTCTTACATAAAATAGGCTGTTTTCTAATCACCCATGCCTTCCTTACATGGACTGACAAAAGTGATTGTGGAGGACTTCTGCAAGACGTTTGGCTTTGACTTGCTCATCATTTTGATAAATTAGAATTACAAAGGGGAAAGAAGAAAAACCAGCACAGCCTACAGATGACAAATTGTTTAATTCCGAAATATTTCTAGCCAAGTTGCAAAGGGATCACTCTGTTATTAATCTGGTGCTGTTCTATAGCTCCATTAAGATCTAATGAAGGGATCAGAACACAAACAGAATTTTAGCCAAATTTTGCAGATTTCAAAAAAATAATTGAACAATGGCAGCAAGAGTCAGTCATGAAAAATACCATGAGATTCCTGGAAACATACTATTTAAACAATTTACATTTTAACACAAATGACATGTTGGCAAATTAAGGACTACTAATTGATTGTAATTTCCTGCAGAGCATTCATGATAACTTTTGACCCAGGTGGTGGAGAAGTGAAAGAGGAGAGGTGTGCTGCTGGAGCTGCTACTAACAAACCAAGAAGGACTGGTTTGAGATATGAAGGCTGGGGGCAGCCTTGGCTGCAGTGACCATGAGATGGTGGAGTAGAGGACCCTGCATGGAGGAAGCAGGACAATAAGTAGGATTGCAACCCTGGGCTTAACAAACTTTGTTTGCTAAGAGAACAAACTTTGGCCTCTTCAGGGACCTACGTGGAGGAATCCCATGGGTCAGGGCCCTGGAAGGAAGGTGGAGTCCAAGAAAGTTGGTTAGTATCTGAGCACCTCGTCCTAGCTCAAGGTTGGTGCATGCCTAGGAGTAAGAAGTCAGGCACAAGGGCACAAGACCTTCATGGATGAATTCCTGGCAAAACTCAAAAAAAAAAAAAAAGGAAAAAAAACCCCTTTTGGGAAGAATAGAGGAGGAATATTGTCAGAGTATGCAGAGATATGATGAGGAAAGCTCAGACTCATTTGGAGTTAAATCTGGCAAGAGATGTCAAGGCCAACAAAAAGGGACCTGTAGCAAAGGCCTTTCAGTAGCAAAAGCAGACTATGAAAATATGTGTCCATCCAAGGCAATGAGTGCCTTGGTCTTAAAGGATACAGAGAAGGCAGAGTTACTCAATGCCTTCTTTGCTGCTTTGTGTCTGCTGCTAAGGCCAGCCCTCAGGAATCCCAGACGCTTGTAACAAGCAAGGAAATCTGGAGGAAGGAAGACTTGGTGGAAGAGAATTGGGTTAGAGATCATTTAGTCAAACCTGACATACACAAACCTGTGGGACCTGATGGGATACACCCAAGAGTGCTGAGGGAGCTGGGGGATATTATTGCTTGGCCACTTTCCATCATCTTTGAAAGGTCAGGGAGGGCATGAGAGGTACCCGAAGACTAGAAGAAAAACAATGTCACTCCAGTCTTCAAAAGAGGAAGGACTTGTGAAACGACAAGCCAGCCAGCCTCACTTCCATCCCTGGAAAGCTGAAGGAACAAGTCATCCCAGATATCATCTCTAAGCATGTGAAGGACAAGATCAGGAGTAGTTTGCATGGATTCATCAGGGGGAAATCATGCTATACCAATCTGATAGCCTTCTGTGATGGATGTCTATGTTGACTTCACCAAGGCTTGTGGGAGTTAGATGAGCAGACAGTTAAATGGCTTGAGAACTGGCTGAATGACAGAACTCAGAGAGTTAGGACCAGTGGCACAGAGTCTAGTTGGAGGCCTGGAGCTAGCTGTGTCTCCCAGGGGTCAATTCTGGGTCCAGCCTTGTTCAACCTATTCACCAGTGACCTGGATGAAGGGACAGAGCATCCCCTCAGCAAGTTTGCTCATGATACAAAACTGGAAGGAGTGTTGGATGAACTAGAGGGTTGTGCTGCCATTCAGAGGAACTTAGGTTGGAGAGTTGGGTAGAGAGGAACCTCATGAAGTTCAACAAAGGCAAGTGCAGGGTCCTGCACCAAGGGAGGAATAACCCCATATACCAATGCAGATTAGTGACTAACTTGTGGGAAAGGAGCTCTGTAGAGAAAGATCTGGGAGTTCTGGTGTACAACAAGCTGACCAGCAATGTGCCCTTGTTGCCCAAAAAGGCCAATGGTAGCCTGAGATACACTACAGAGCATTGGCCAGTATGTTGAGGGTAGTGATTCTCCCCTTCTCCTCAGCCCTGGCGAGACCACATCTGGATTACTGTGTCCAGTTCTGGGATCCCCAGTACAAGACGGGCATGGAGCTACAGGAGAGAGTCCAACATAGGGCTACAAAGATAATTAGAGGACTGGAGTATCTCTCCGGTGATGAAAGGCTGAGAGAACTGGGCCTGTTTGGCTTAGAAAGGACTGAGAGGGCAATCTTATTTGTACAAACTGGTATCTTAAAGGAAGGTGTCAAGAGTGGTGCCCACTGATAGACCAAGAGGCAGTGCACAAACAGGAATACAGGAAGATCAATCTGAATATGAGTAAAACTTGATTGTGAGGGTGACAGAATACAGGAAGAGGTTAAGAGAATTTGCAGAGTCTCCTTCTTTGGAGGTATTCAAAACCTGCCCGGACATGATCCTATGTAAAGTGCTCTAGGTGACCCTGATTGAGTAATGCGTTGTACTAGATGAGCTCCAGAGATCCCTTCCAACATCAACCATTCTATGAAGACCCATTTTATAAGTTATGGTGAAAGAAGACTAAGGATTGTTGAGCTGAGGCCTTCCATTTGCAGACCTGAAAAGGTGATGACTCCGGACAAACATAAGCTGTCAGTGGATCATTGTTGTTGAAATATAAATGTAATAAATATTTATATATATGATGGAGAAGATTAAGAAAAAAAAAAGAGCTAATAACAATTGAGCTTTATCGTTAACAAGACCATTACTTAATGCTGCATACAGTTACAATGGCCAAAACCTAAAAGCGGGGTTCAAGGTGGGGGTTCAGAGGGGTTCAGAAAAGAAATAATGAATTTAAGAGTTTTAAAGAATCACAGCATACTAATCGGTTTGTGATTAGTAACCTGTTTCTACAGGTCACCTTTCTCAAAAACTCTTTAGAAAAATGTTATTCCATATCATTGTTTTAATGCAAGGCACATATGTTACACGTATACAGCAACATCTTAAGGTGACAAGCGGCCATCTCAAGACAGTTCAAGCAGCTTTTTCCCAACTACCCCTAGAGAAAAAAAATGCTACTGCATTAAACAGAAATCTAGTCCTAGGTATCTGTATCTGGAAGCAAAGAAGGATAGAGCCTTCTAACAATGTTATTCTGAAAATATGACTCAATTTTGCATGCATAATACAGCTGATCCATGCACATACTGTAAATCCAGTCATACGATGCTTCCTGAATCACTCACGTGAACAGAGTGAGTATTACTGCCTTAGTGCAAGAGATTATGGAATCTCTTTAATTTAGTCAAGGAAAACTATTTAAAAATGCTTTGATCAGTCTAAAAATTTTACTTAGTTCAGTCTAATTTTAAGGGGGTTGAAAGTGGAAGTACCACCTAGGTAAAACTCAAATCAAGAAAAAAAAAGTACTTTTCCAGCAAAGACTGTTAGCCATAAATAGCCAGACTTAATCTTATTCACAAATCCACCAGCCTCCAAGATGTTACAGCTGAAACACACAATTAAC